TAAACAAGATCACATCACGGAAAGAAAAATATATCTAATCAGTTTTAAATATAAAAGGATATAGTAATTATAATTTTGACTCTATTTATTCGTTACTAATCCACACCAGATTTTGTTATTTTAAATAAGTAGTGTGCAACTTTCGTGCTGACGATGTAAGAGGATTGTCTTCATCACTCCATTTCGTCTCGTGGGTAAAGTAAGATGCGACTATGGGAAACGCCCAGAAATTTTTTCGGTTTCTAACAGGCGTAACGATTTCGAAAGGTAACTTTCGTCAAAGGTTCAAGACGTATGGTACTACAGTCGACAATCCGTCTGCCAGTTGTGATGTATGAGGTCTCTCTCCAATGGTAGAGGCCTGCTATCACAGTGGACTTTTATGGGTTTCACGGGTTGATAATAAAGAAGAATAATTGATGATAGAAAAAGATATCTATGAGCCATACTATCTTCTTACCATAAGGTGGAATATATCTGTTTATAATTGTTATGGATTCGATATTCGATTGTAATCCTTTTTCTATAAAAATTGGTATTACTGGAGTAAATATCCACTTTAAAAATCCTAATTTGATTATCACTTTCATCCCTTTAGGCACAGGTTTAATTTTCAAAATTCAATTACTATAACTTGTTTTTTATAGAATAAGGAGTATACAGTTCACCTTATGGTAATAGGATTTTGTGACCGGTGTGGTGTATGGATATATAATTTTTCCTCAGTTAAGAATAAAAATACGGATGCACTGTAACCCCTAAGGACTAAGTTGGAATGCCTCATTTCCAGTAAAAAAGGCCTCCGGTGCTCTATTCTCACCATCAGAAACATAGCAGCATTAAGCTGCTATTTAACAATAAACAATACCTTAGTGGTTTTCTCTTTAATTATTTGCAAGTTTTAGCTCATTTTTAATATTTCTTTTTGTAAGTATATCCGTGGTTTGGTTTATTTATTTTAATGTAATAAATATAAAACATAACTAATAGTATAGAAAGAAACATTAACCTTTACATTTTTCGAACAAATTAACTTTTTCGCTATGAAATCTGTCAAATGTTACACCTTATTTTTAAGTAACCTTTTTTGTGGTAGAGCCATGCTGCAGCTATATTAATTGTATAGTTGTAGCACGAATGGGTCGGCTCGACCGGGGAAGGACCACGCTCTCACAGAATACCAGCGTCGTATAGCAGCTTAATGCTGCTGTGTTTCGTATGGTGAGTATAGAGAACCGAAGACTCTTTTTACTGGAAAAGAGGCATTCCATCTTAGTCCTCAAGGCACAACGCATCTGCATTTTGATTCGCAAACGAAGATAGATATAGATGTCTATGGGCCACAGCAACCACTTACCATCAGGTGGACTGTGTGCTCGCTTGTCACTCTTTTTCTATAAAAAAAATTGGCGCAGCCCTGGTGACAGAAAAAGTCGTGGAAGTCCTTATTGCACACTCTCCGGAAGATTTCCTGTTCGGTAAATAAAATAGGAAACATTTTTCACAAGTTAAAGATTTGTGTTTTTGTTGTTAGACATTGACAGAAAAATTGAAAGAAAAATGTGATTAATACGTAATTTAACTTGAAATTTAAAACTTAAGTTTTCAAGTCCTTCCTTATTTAATTTTCCTGTCATTAGGTAGGTATTGTTTTTCCTGTTCTTACATATATTTTTTTAATAAGAATAATTTGCTTCATATCGTTAGTACTATTCCTGGAAATGAGAAACGTGATAAACATTTTTAAAGCTTACAATTATATTTTAGGGTTCCGTAGTTACACAACAAGGAATACCCTTATACTTGAACGAATCGTTCAAGCCCTTATACTCGTAGTTTCGTCATGTCCATCCGTCCGTCCGCAGTTTTACTCTAATACCATAGATGCTACAAATCTGTAATTTGGCATAGTTATAAATTTTAATCACGCCTACAAAATTATGAAGTAAAATCTTAAAAGATATTTTTATTTTGGGTACCTCCCATACAAGTAAATAGTGGATGATATTTTTCTACTCGTCTATTCCATCGTGCGTGGAAGAACTTCTGTACTACTGTTTCGATTCAGGGGTCCGTTTGCGAAATATTTATCTTTAAAGTGGTGTTTTTCATTAGAGTCATATGTCCCTCCCCCCCTCCACAAACTAAATCGCTGTTTTTGGAAATGTGAAAAATATACAAGATAGTGAATTGAAAAGGATAACTGTCACAGCTAAGTAGAGCTGCGCCCTCCTTTCTGCCAAGGAGGGTCGCGTTCGTATACGGCTTAGAGATCTCTAGTCAGATCGATAAGCCAATACCTAAAAGGTTGGGTTTAGTGGGTAAAAGTCACCACATAACCACGCAGCCGGCTGCGTGGTATGCTATGAGCATTCCCAACCTCCCTCCCCCGCTTTACGGAGGGTTGCCCATATTTGCTTCGGGCGCAAAAAAAAAAATTGATTTCTAATGTAGAATAGAGTAGAAGTCTATGAACCACTTACCATCAGTCGTTGTCAACCTATAAAAAAACACTTTGATTAGTAATAATTTCATTACAACTCCGTAGAAAATGACTTAAAAGTAGCTGCATTATAATTTAGTAGTGTTATTGTAAACTGTAAAAAATAAAAAAAATATGAAGAAAACAACTTACATGCATTACTACTATAACTTTACTTTTTCATTTCTTGGATAGGCGGGGAGGATCTTTCTTACTTACTACTTTCACTTATTTTTGTTGGTGTTATTGTAGGCCTTATTCGAAGTATTCATCGAAGTCTCATACAGTTTCATTTGTCATGCTCTTGGTTTACGCGGGAGACCTCAGAATAATTTAGGGCAGTGGTGGTTTACGTGAAGGCCTGAATAGTCTTCGCAGTCTGGAATATATAGACGTCAACTATCACCATCTTTGTACTTACTTAGCATGTGAATAATTTCATGTAAATTGCATTATTTTCAAAATCTAAAAGTATTTTAAATATTTTTTGAATACCCTATAAGTTAGATTTGAAAATAAATCCTTCAGTTACCATCTTCCCATTTGGTCCCAATTTTAGTCATTATAGCGGTCAAACTGCGAACTCACTTATTATGCTCATTTTAAAGAAAGTTTACGTATTGCGACGGCCTGCATAAAGAACTATACTTCTACATCGTGCGTGGCCCAACACGCACTTGACCAATTTTTATTCTAGTTCAAACGTAAGAGAGTATATCACCCCATTACGTTCCGTAGATGTCGTAAGAGACGACTATGGAAAACCAAAGAAAGATCTCATGGCTTCCGAGAGGTGACGTTTTAATCACCTGGTTTACATTAGACGTAAAACAGTTTGCCCGTGGTAGGCGGTGTAAGATATCCATTCATATTATTGCCATTTTTGCCATAAGAGGCGACAGAGGGAGGCGAACTAGCAGGTGGACAGCAGTGTCTTCCTAATAACAACCAAAAGTAAAATACGGTGGTTGCCAACCACCTGCCAAGCGTGCCAACTATTAGGCAATCTATGGGAGAGGCTGATGTTCAGCAGGGAACTTTGGAAAGGCTTTGGATTGGTAGCACATTGAAACTGATTAAACTTAATTTCTTAAATTTAAACTTAATTTCTTAAATTTTCGTCGATGTCGTCATGAGGGATCTAAGGTATTGGACGTGACGTCATAGCTAAATCGGTCTATATATATACTTTAACTATCGGTGTAAGAGAATCCATTAGCCTTTACCATCACGTGTGTTGTAAGAAGTGACAGAAGGAAATGAAGCAGCATTTTCCTGTTAATAACTGTAATAAAAACAACGGAGATGTCCAAACCGCGTACCCAGCGTAGCAACTATGGCATAGGGAATCTCACGAACTAGTCTAAGGGGGAATTCTATGCGCGGCAAAGTATTTTTGTTAGACTGGCTAAATATATAATCAAAGTATTTTTGTTATAGAATAAAAGTGATGTGCTACCACACATACCGCCTGACGGTAAGTGGATGCTGTAGCCTACAAACATCTGTCTTCGATTAAGAGTCAAATTTTATTAATATTATGAATATTTAATGATTAATACTAAAGAAGACGGATTTATTCAATTGCTGTTATTTCATTAGAATTTAAGAAGATTTTATGTTAAACGGTAAAAAGCATTGTTTTACTTTAAAAAAATGGGGTGTCCGGCTTTTTAAACAAAATGTCCGGCTTAACTCGCTGTTCTTACGGCTTTTCGGTTTAAAGTCCTGGCAAGCCTAGCTGCAGAGTGGCAACGACCTTGTGTCGTAATGAATAAGTAATTCAAACATTAGATTTTCCTGTCTTTGATAGCTTAGCAGAAACACTAACATTGTTGCTTTCATAAAAAAATCTTAATTACCAAATGCTCTGCAGCTACGGAAAACTTTACGAGACTCTCATAACTCAAACGATCGGCTTCAATATTTAGTATTATTAAAGCTTAGGCTCCGACGAGGAATAAAAATAAAAATATGATAAAAAAGTTATAATGATGTTTTGAATGAGAAAAATCAAATATGTTATAAACTCGTATAATATTCAAGATACATATTACCGAATTGCATAATTTTCAGCAATCAGTGTAAAACAAAATGACAATGTTGATGGTCAGTCGGGTGAACATGATAGCGTTTGTTGCGCAGACTTAGCCGATTAGCTGCGTCCGGTCCAGATAACAGTATACAGAACGCTGATCCGAATTATTATGAGCGAAGCTGACGCCATAAAACGCCTCTATCTAAGTGCGTGCCTAATGGAATGTCACGAGGATGACTCCACGACAGAGTTTTCTGTGTGAAGCTAGATTGACTGACTATTTTACATACCTAATTGCTGCTTGGCGATTATAACAGTGGTATTAATTGGATATATTGAAATAAAGTTGTCGTAAATAGGAATATTGTCGCATTAACGAATACCTTTAAAGGGATACGAAGTTGCTCAATGAAATCTACTGTCGTTATTTTATGTTTATGATTATATTTAAAAGGTTTATTGATAAAAGACTTTATTTTTTTAATTAGGAATTAATGTATCTTTGTCCTCATTCTCTTCGTTACAATTATACACGGTTGTCAATTCTGAACAAAGCCATATTTTTAGGATACTTCCATGGTTCTTATAATGATACATTATATGTCTGCGTATACGACAGATTTAATGAAACTAAATATATGTAGATTTTATCTTATTTTGATGTTCATCATTTTAACTTATTTAGCACTAATTGTCGCTAATAGTTAATGAAACTTATGCTCATGAAGGAGCTGTGATGTTTATCACCCTGGTGTCCTAGTTAACTTAATCTACCTTCAATTTTTAATTCAAATATTAGGGTAGCAAATTAGAAGCGCGATAATATATGAAAACATAATGTTTTATTGAATGTTTTCGTGGTGTTTAAAACGTTTAAATATGTCAATTCCAATAAGATGTTGAAGATGAATCTAAAGTAAAAGTAGTAAAATCACACAAATAATGGTAATTTTTAAAAAGAATGACATTGCTGTTTCGTGAATGACGAGAACTGGAACTCCTTTTTTGGTAACGATGTATCCTATTTTAGTCTTCAGGGATGATAGCGCGTTTGATTTTTAACTAAGAATTTTTTACGTGGTGCAGCTAATATTAGTATATATTGTTGTAGCACGAATAGGTCGCCTCGACCGGGGGAGGACCACGCTCTCACGGAAAACCAGCGTAAAATAGCAGCTTAACGTTGCTTAACGTAACGTTCGTATGGTGAGTGTAGAGAACCGGAGACCCTTTTTTACTGGAAACGGGGTATTCCATCTTAGTCCTCACGGGTGGCAACGAATCTGCATTTTGATTCGTAATCGAGAAAAGATGTTGATGTGGCCCATTGAATCCTATGGGTCAGAGCAACTACTTACCATCAGGTGGACTATGCGCCCGTTTGTCAAACTTATTTTATAAAAAAACATAACTTGCGTGCGTGTTTATATTGGTTCAGCCGATTTATAGTAATCGGTAAGCAAATTCGTAAATAAAAAATATACGCGACGAATATTAAAACCTTCTCGTTTCTTTATAGTACGCAATAATATTTTTATCACATTATGCCAACAAAAGTGCTAACAGTCCGTATGTGATCGCAGCAGCCCAATTTTATCTGCAACCAACCTCAAACAATAAAAGCCTTATTAAATATTAGACAGATGCCTTTTAAACCGAAGAACTACGAGTAAGATAGAATGCCTTACGCCTGTTAGTATAATAGCTTTCTTAACTTTAAATCCAAAGCAGTGATGCTCGGAAACAGAAATAGGTAATCCAAAAAAAAAGTGTTACTAACGGGTGAACTTATACGCAGAAGCTCTATCTGTATATTGTACTGTATAACTTTTAGGTAGAACTTCATTTTGAGTTTGATTGAGTTTATTCGCAAGCACAGGTGCACTCTGTGTTCCCTTACTCTCAAAGTCCGATGGGACGGTAATCAGACGTCACCGCCACCGTCGGTTTTACATACTTTCCAAGGCACGAGGGTGAAACGCCGCGAACTTTAAGTTCCCAGGCTGTTACTGAGAATTTCTTGACAGAAAACCCAATAACTTATTTTGGCCCTGGGTACCGTATGCGGGACCGCGCGTTTACGACCACTCGATCAACGAGACAGTCAAAGCGACAGTAGCCTAATAATGAAGGGTAAGGACTGCAAACTCGAAAAGTCGTGGATTCGAATCCGCCATTCGGCTAATGCCGTGAACCATTCCAAACACAAGCATTTTAATCTTGCTTGGAGTGGTTAACAGCAGTATTGTTAATGTAACTAGGATCCATTCTTTAAACAAATTAAAATGATAAAAAACTTATAATTATTGGGTGCGTTTGGCAGAAAAAAGCGCTAGCAAGCGCTTATAAGCGCTAAAACAGTTTTCGGCCAGGACACGATTGCTACTTCAGTAGCGCTGACACAATCCGCCATTTTGCTTATTTAATTTGTTTGTTTTGAAGTAGAGTTTATAAGTTGTTTTGTGCAATATTAGTTTTAAGTAATATAATTACATGAATAAACATATACATGCTATTAAAAATTCATGATTGGTAAGTTTTTAATATGAATACTTTACAAACAAATATTTAAATTAGATTAGATTCCCCGGTTAAAACTAACATCGTGTCCTGGAGGAAAATAGCTACTTACGATTTGACAGCGCTTACTGCTTACTATCGCCATTTTGCTTAGAAGCGCTTGCTAGCGCTTTTTTCTGCCAAACGCACCCATTATGTGTGGTAGTAGAAATTGTACTAACTTAATAAAAACTAGTAAAGTGGCTACCTACTTTTTGGTTACTTTTATTTTTTTAAATATTGAAGAAAGCTGCACTTAATTATTGCAATACACAACATAATATATTTATTATTTAGTTATATATTTAGTTATGCATTTTGACTCGTAATAGATAAATATGGATGTCTATGGGCCACAGCATCCACTTATCAGCAAGTGGATTGTGTGCTCGTTGGTCACACTTATTCTATAAAAAAAACATGGGCCTCTCCTACAGTAGGTAGGATTTTCATACGTGGTACAGCCACGCTGCAGTTGTATTACGTTTGCAGCACAAATGGGTCAGGAGTAGTAACACGCTCTCGCTAAATACCAGCTTAAAATAGCAGCTTAATACTGATGTGTTTCGTATGGTGAGTGTAGAGATCCGGAGACCTTCTTTTACTGGCAACGAGGCATTCCATCTTAGTCCTCAGGGGTGACAACGCATCTGCGTTTTGATTCTTGATGTAAATGTCTATGGGCCACAGCATCCATTTACTATCAAGTCTGTGTGTTCGTTTGTCACCCTTAATCTTTAAAAAAAATGCCGTAGTTGTAAAGCTTAGCAGACAGTATAAGAGATCTCAAACCTTTGATTCTGCTTCTTATTGTCAACCTGTGTATTTTACATCAGGTATATAAGAAATGGTTTTTCCGCCATTAATCGGAAGCTATAAGACTTTTCTGGTTCTTCCCAAAGCCGCCTCTTACGATTCAATTAGAAGTGATTGATTTTTTCACTATTACTACACTCATGGACATATTTTGGGGAACCCCAAAAAACTATAAAAATAACAAAATATTTTGGATACCTACTTGTGACAATTAAGTTTATTAATTTTGATTTTACTTGATATTCGTTAATTTAAAATTGCAAACGTCGAAAAAACAAACGATCAAATGAGAAAAATTTACCTAATTAAGAAAAAAGGAAAAGTTTTACAGAAAATAAACATTTTTGTACTTTATATTTTTTTTTCATAAATGCTTAAGAAAGGATGGACTATAATCAGTATTTAGTGTTGCCCCTCTAGCTCTTGGAACTGCTTGCAGTCTCCTTGGCATAACCTAATCAAATTAGCAATAAAATCTTGAGAGGTGATTACTCCTCGAAGAAAATGTTATCGTGTATTCCTCCTTCAAGTATTGTAGCACGAGCTATTTGGAAAACTGCGTTTTTTGCATCGTATGAACCTCAAAGTCCTACACATACTTCATAGCGTGAAACGGTAATAATTTAGGACATGGATTATCTCCCATAGTAGAAAAATTTTCCGTAATTGCCACTGTTACTATTGCTGAGCGTAGTATAGTTGTAGCACGAATGGGTCGGCTCGACCGGGAAGGATCACGCTCTCACAGAATACCAACCAGCGTAAAATAGTAGCTTAATGCTGCTGTGTTTCGTATCGTGAGTGTAGAGAACCGGAGACCCTTTTTACTGGAAACGAGGCATTCCATCTTAGTCCTCACGGCTGACAACGCATCTTCATTTTGAATCGCAAACCAGATGTAGATGTCTATGGACCACAGCAACCACTTACCATCAGGTGGACTGTTTGCTCGCTTGTCACCCTTTTCCTATAAAAAAAAACAATGTAACCAGGGATACATTTTGAAGCAACGCCGTATTAGGCTTTATATGCCACTATTCCTTTTGTGGTAATCACAAATAAATATACGTTTGGAATAGTTAAACGATGCGTGTTAACTGAGATCAGACATTACAAATCGGTTCAACGTCGGTTGTTTAGTTATTGGCTTAATTCACTGCGGCGCTGCGTTTGCATGCTGATTGTTAATAGTAGACAACAGAATCAATGCCTCTGATCTTGCAAACTTAGGCGCGCGTTTGCAGGAACGTGTTCCCAGAATGTTATCAATTAATCAACAACAGGTAGTCTGGTGCAGTAGACTACGATTAAATAACGCAATCTGAAGCTTTTTGGTGTACTTTTTGAAATTCAAACCTCAGTAGATCGAGTCTACTTATAAACAGTTGGAGACCTTCCACGTCGTTACTTGTTACAAAACTAACGTAGGAACGACGTGTTGCAACAAGAAAATTTATAATGCTGCATTTTACAGTCTCTTTTGAATGATTAGTTATGTTTGTTTTAGTACGTGATAAATATTGCTGGGAGTTTTGCTATGGAATTAAATATTTTATTGCGATTGAATCACAATCGCTTTTATTTAAAATTAAATTTTATTTCAATTGATTAATACTTAGCTACGTAAACTTTTAGAAAATTTATTAGTTGCAATAAGTAAATTAGGATAAATAAATTTCTGATAACTTTTTTTTTGTAAAAATTGGTATTTGAGATATAATCTTCTTTACATTTTAATAAATATTCTACACTCATAAAAATAATAATTATTGCATTTATCATTGTTTGTTAAATTTAAACAAAGAAGCAATATTTAAGGAATTTTAAAAAAATTACTTAACATTTTAGAATGAACTAAATAAATAAAACTGCAGAACAGAAAAAAAATCAAGCATTGATTAAGTTTCAAATTTAAACACAAGACATATAGCACTGTAGATCGTAATCTGCAACAAATATTTCACTCAAAAACCAGCCACTACATTTTTGTGTAACGCAGTCGACGTGAGGTAGCATTTAGATGTCAATTAGATTAGATTTAGATATTATTAAATTACATGTCATGTATTTGTATAGTTGCTCACCATGCGGTGCCGATGTAAAGTAAAATGCTAAAAAATCGTCGACTGAGGTGGTGTTGGCGTGCGACTGCGCGTACGGCGCCGGTTGCGCTAGTGGCGGTTGCGGCCCGCCGTACTGCAGCCCGCTGGGCCCCGCCTCCACCAGCAACTGCATCTGGGAGATGTCCACAAACTCGTCCCCATCGCCTCGGCCAAGCTCCTCGTCCTCTGGCCGACGCATCGCGATCACCGAGAGCATCGCACGATTGCATCCCCGCACCTCGCACTCCACACCACCATAGGCGGCTCAGCCGCACGCACTCTCCCACACTACACGCTTCGCACCGACTCGTGCGCCGGACTCTCACTCTCTCCACTTCCGTTTCCACCGATCTAGATAAATGACTAAGACGATATCGAATTGACACGATCACAGAACATTAGATATAGGTGGCTAAAAGACTATGCTCCGAGTTATCATGAGTGTCTACTGATAAATGAACACAGGTTTCGCACGCGGTGAGAGTCGCGCGGAGAGCGCCACATCCTCGACTGAGGCGCGCGCGGAACGACGAGGGCGTATGGTACGCCGCCCCCGTGCGCGTTTCTCGTCGCACGCCCTATCAATGGACGCCGGCCACCCGCTCGAGGTCGGCGTTCATTCACGACGAGCGCGTTAATGGCGTTCAGGCCGGGCGCCCTCGTTCGGCCGACGTCGCCCACGTGCGCGAGAAAATGGCGCGGCGTCGCGACGGCAAGGGAGGCGCGCGAAAAACGCGGGTCGCACGAGCGTAGTGCGACGGGCGGCGCGCGAGCGGTGCGTGGGCGCGGAGGCTCGGCGCACTCGCCAGCCTGCCGGCCACTTTCTCCGCTCTGAATCACGCTCCGCTTTCGTACGTCTCCCGCGGGCTAACGGAGACCGTTTTGGTGATGCCGCAATTAGCGGCGCGGCACGCGCTTCAGTGACGTCGACGCCCCAGTCGGGATAGTTGTGGAGTTACGTACACGAGATAAATTATTCGCTCTCACTAAAAATAAACACCTGGTCATACATGCGGTGACGTACGGAGTTGCGATGATATACTGGCGTATAGGTGATTTCGTTCTATTTAAGTTTCTGCTACTGAATTGTTTGTCGATTTCATATTATGCCTCACGACTTTTCTTTTTTTTTTTTAAATGTGTTAGACACAGTTATGGAGCATTAATCGGCAACGTTGCTCCAGTGCGAATTGGATATCATATCCTCTATATAATTTTTCTCCTGAGAGAAGCAGGTTTCCTCACGACATTTTCTTCACTGCCGAGCACGAATTACTCAAAATTACAATTAAAAATTTCATTGATGTCAACGGGGATCGAAACCTGTTTGCTTGCACACTATGAAATTCACAGTGAGCGTGTTTCCCTGAGCTACTACGGCCCTTAGAATTGGTTTATAACCGATTGGAGGAGGCCTGTGCCCTCTAAGTTGGATGAGTAAACTACAGTTCTTCTTATAATATAGAAAAAAAAATAAAAGGAGTGAAATAAAAGAAAGACTAAACAAATTACTTTAAAAATATAACAGTATATTACATACCTGCATAGTATTAAATATCTACGTACCTATGAACTTGAAAATAAGTGTTTTTGTTAATTTTAAATAGGCTTTACTTTCCCAATAGTCAATAAAAGGAAACATTTCAAATGTTTGCGCGTTGCCATGGCAACAACTTGTTCATCCCGGCTTTTAGGTAGTAAATGTCAAAGTGCTAGTCGTGGGCGGCTCTCTAATACTGAATTAGTATTATTTATTTTGTGCCTTTTTTAAGTTACTAAAAACTGAATTTATTATGATTTGTTAGCAGCCAGTATTATTTCTATTTATGTAACAGCGGCTTTGCCCTGTTATTATTTTAATATATAAAAATATTGGGGAATAAGCCCTACAACTATTTGTTTACCTATTCCAGTTATTAAATTGATATTTGAATATTTCCAAAACATTCACTGTTATCTATAGCTATAAATATAGTTAAAATATCTGTCTGTGATAAAATAACTGCCTTTAAGGTCAATAAACATGAGGGGGTTATTTGCATGCAATTAAGAGATGAATAACCATTTTTTTTTTAAAAATCTGTACGTCTGGATTAAGCTTAGGAATGGCTGAACCAATTGTGTAACTATTGTGGAATAAACCCCCTGCGATCATTATCTTCTTGTCGCAAGCGAAACGAAACCAAAACCCGAATCACGCATCAAAATCGAAGTACTCCGATATATTTAAAATAGTTTATTTACTACAGAGGGTTTGATTGATTTTTGATGCCGCGTTGGTCTAGTAGTCATAAACGCGTTGCTGATCGTGAGGGCCCCGGTTCGAATCCCGGGTCGGGCCAAAACCACTTATTGGGTTTTTGTTAAAAAATTCTCGGTAGATGCCCGGAGTAAGGAAGTTGGTGGTGTTTCATCCCCGTGCCTCGGAAAGCACGTACAGCCGTTGGTGCTGCGACTGATCTCTCTTCGGTCGTGTCCCATCGGACTATGAGAGTGAGCGAATAAAGAGCGCAACTGTGCTTGCGCATAAACTTAGGCGATTCGTAATGACTCTCAAAAACAGCACACAGACGCGGCTCAGAAGGTAAATCGGTATGTAGTTCATAAATAGAGTTTTGTCACCTTTCTTGAATAACAGATAGTGCCAGCATGGAGGACGGAATTAAAGAGCTTCTGAAGGACTTCAAGTACCGGTTTTCCACTCGCTTTCAAAAACTCCACTGTTTCTATCCTCGCCCTGGGACATGCCGTTTTTAATTTGCTGAAGAGCCATTCTAATCTCGCTCAGACTGACGTCCGGGATATCATCGGAATAGTGTAAATAAATATCGAAAAATCATATTTCATTCCCATTTCAGTAAAACTAGGTAAGCCAAACGTAATAAATTGTCGATATAAAAAAGTAGTGTCATGTAACTGACTCGCGTTCGACTCCTGCGATCGTGTTCTAGGAAATTTACGTATGGAACAATATTGTTTATTGCCCATACTATAAATCCATCGCTGCTTTTAGCTGTCGTACTCGTAGACATGAACTAGCTTCAGAATCAATTGATTTTAAAATGTGAAAATAATTACATTTTCGGAGACAATCGTAGTAGTACTGGAGGTGAATAATTTTATTTAAGTATATTTCATTAAAAACGACTTTATTTAAAACACTAAGTACTTATTTATGAAATGTTATCCCTTTATAGAAAATTTGCAAGTTGTGAAAGAATTTCCGCAGTTGGATATGCTTCAAAACAAAATTTTTACGGCTCCGCGTCCGAAACAACACTGGTGACCGAAACAAATGCTACTCGCGTGCTTGTGGCCTATGAGTCACATGTGTGGCGACGAGGTCACGAGCTTTTACGACTTCTATTGCCTTATTATTTAGATTTCTGTATGGCAACCGCAGTTTTTTTATTGTATAATTTCTGTTATCAGGAAGATGTTACTTCCCACCTACTGCTTGTCTTCCTCTGTCACGGTACCCACGTGAAGATATTGGGTAGTGTATATTCTCAACCGCTACTACACGGCCTTTTTAAAAGACAGTTATTAAAATATGATGAAGTGAATAATGCTATGTCAAAACTAGTACACCGGTTTAACATCAATAATTTGCTTTTAAAAGGTAATAAAACGAAATGTATTAAATTTACCACAACAGGTGAATACCAGTATTCTTTTATATGGGGAAGAGCCGAACTTTGTTGAATCCACTGAAGCTTCAATGGGGCCCTCATATATATAAACTAGCTATCAAACTTAGTTCTGCAGCAAATGCTGTAAAAAGTTCGGAGGCCTTGCATGTGTTGAAATCGCTAAATTACTTTATTTTAGTTATTTATATAAATTAATGTTGTATGGAATCTTGCTATGGGGTATTGCGACTGACACTGAAACTGTCTTTGTTTTGCAGAAGAGAGCCGTATGACTAAATTATACTTAAGTACGAAGGAATCAGGAATTAAAGAAATAAATAAATAAACTTTGGCCTATCTGTATATTTACGAAAATTAAATGTATGTACACAAAAACAAAAATAGTTTTATTAAAAATAGTCATGTATATTCTGTAAATACTAGGAACAAGCACAAGTTAGTTATATTGAAGTTGAAGCTATTAAAATGCTTCAAATTATTATTTATTGAAAGTTGTTTAATAAGGTAATAAAATTAAGTAGTTTTAGGTTTACTAACACTAAGATATTAGGTTGACAATTTGATATGTGATTTTCTCCTAGAGTTAATTTTATAATTCATTTATTTATATCATGGCAAAATATATTCCATATATCATTACATATTTATATACAAGTATACGTACACACCCATAGATGTACATAAATATTTTAAAATATATAAATACCTCACTTATTTAAACATAGCTACCTAAAGTAAGTGTTCTTCATAATGTAACTTACCCGCATCCTCCGTTTACAAACAAAGGTAAATTAAACAACAGAAGCTGTGTTTAATATGCATGGACGTACCTTGTTTCTAAAATCACTTTTACTGCCTATAAAGCAGTGATGCACAGAATTATTAAGACTAGGGGCCACTCGGGCAAATTATGAACTGATGGCGGGCCGCCAGAAGTATAGGGAATTAAAGACAATAAAGTATTGATAATAATGTATTAAAATTGAAAAAGAATTTATTAATTTGAAGCGTGGCACTGCATAGTGCTTACAATCTTTTTATACGAGGCTGCCACTCGAGAACCTTTCTTTCCCATCGGTTATCGGTTGAATGATGATTTGAAATTGGAAAAATGATGATTTGGAATCGGAAAATGAAAGGACACACCAAATATAAACCAACTTTGTGACGAAGAAATCATCAGCGATCGAGACAGTCCCGAACCTGTTAGTTGCTCAGAAGACAGTGTATTTGGAATAAGTTCTGACGACATTGAAAACGAAGAGGAGAATACGAGAATAAGAGAAAATACGAGGAACGAAAATACGAGAGATGAGGGCGAAGAAGATGAGGACGATGGAGGATGGACATCAAATTGTTATCGAGGTAAAAATCGTTACAAGTGGTCTAAAACAGTTCCACGTAGATCCCGAATGAGGAGGCATAACATAATTACACACCTTCCTGGCTTAGTAGGCCCAGCTCGTGAAAAAACTAATATGACAGAGTTGGAGTCATGGCAGTTGTTAGTGACAAATGAGATGCTTGAAATAATTATTTTACATACCACCAAAAAATTGCGGAA